GATCGAGGATGCAATAACGCGAGAGGGGCGAGCTCCGCTGGCTAAAGGCTAAGGACGTCGAGTAGCTCCATGCGTGAAACAACCCACGGCGTATTTTGCGTCTTTTTTTCCCTCAAGCAGCTTTCTTTTTTTCTTTTCCGAGTTTGGAGGAGGAGGACGGGGGGAAGCCGCCTCTTCGAATGAACCGAGCTCGATGAAATAAAAACTCGTCTCGGAGAGCGCCTGGAACGAGGCAGAGCTCGGTTCGTGCGTCCCGAAACGTGGATTCCATCGCGGCGACGGAGGCATGACACCGGGACACGCCCAACACAAAAGAGCGATACATTTAATTCACTCTCTTTCGCTTTAACGCGCGTGCGTGCGTGTCGAAGATCACACATCTAAACACTTTCTGCATGTTTTTTTCGTCCCAGCCTCGGAGATTACGTCACTGCATGGCTCATCTTCTCGTTCAACATATACAATCGACGGAACAACCGCTGCTGGTTCATTCCTCTAGCTGTTTTTTACTTCATTCGTGTGTCCCGCAAATTTCTCCCGTTTTCTTTCTTTCTTTTTCCGCGCAGCCTTTTACGCATCGACGCCAGGTTGTCTCGCCAAACTAAGAGCTCCCACGCGACGAGACATTGCCAAGAAAGAAATTGGCCAGTCGTCCGGGATAAAGACTGCATACACACACTGCCAATGTACGCTTCGCGATACGGCTAGCGCCAACATTACGTTCGGCGCCTTTGTCGCATTTCACGTCGGAAGGGTACCGGCGGGATTAAAATTTTACCATTTAGTTTAGTATACCCGAACCGAGCACGTTCCACCACTATAGTCTTTCAATACTGAGAGATAAACAGGAAATCGGCGACGGCTCGTTCGCGCCAACAAGGTCGCGGAGTGTAGTATACAAAGCTAGCGTGCCCCCCCCCCCCCCCCCCCCCCCCCGCAATTAACAAGCCGTCATAACAAGACGGTAATGGGTTCAGCACATCACATAGTTCTCCCGTATTCTCGCATGGCTCGTTTTATTGCAGCCGTATCTATATGTAACACGGCGCCGCAGACGGACCGCAACACAGTCAGCCGACCTACTATCGATCGCGGATGTTCCTCTGGATTAAGTAGGTCTAGCTGCAATCGGACCTACTTTATCCCGGAAGTATGGACCAACAACAGACGTCATCCCTTCCCGTTGTCCAAACCTGTACACAACGACTTTCAATGCGAACTTTCTTTGACCAAGTGGTCAGGACGCTGGAGCCACAATAAACTCGACACGCTCCCCTCCTAGGTGTAAGCCACCGCGCTACACTAAGTGATTGCGTTGTGTACATGTTTAAACAATTTGTAAGCGAGAGCTAGAAAAAAAAAAGGAAAAAAACTAGTGCCTCTCTACCTGCACTACCAGGCGGTACAACAAGTTTAAACCAATGAAATAAAGAGCACCTGTCTTGTATGCTTAGACAGCCGGAAGTTAGTTAGCCCTCCAAATGGTTCGTTTCGTGTCTCGCCCGGAGATGAGACATTTTACACGACCGCGCGCCGGCACGGCTCTGCAGCGCGAGCTTTAACTCCACGTGGTCCGAGCTGCTTTAACACACTCGGCCACCGATCTCTCCCCCCACACAGGAAGAAACGGTCCTACACATAAGCCACAGAAAACGATTAGCGCCGTCACCAACACGCTCGAACACAAGCTGGGGCCAACTTCATCCGCATTACTATTATTCAAGGAGCTCCAAAGAACGAACCTCTATCGCAGCGCGTTCGTTCGCTCACACACAACTTGGCGGCGCGTCTGTGCCCCGCTGCTTTTGGCCTACCTGCCAAAACTCAACTTGGGCGATCCGCAGGCGGCAGTCCCCGCTGCGGGATAAAGCGGGGCTGCATAAACGGCCTTCATCGAGTGGCCGAGAACGTAGGCACTACGGGCCCGGCCTCGCCGCTGAATATCGTTCCTGGCGCGAGAAAAACGGAAACGATGAAAAAGGAAACGCCAGCGTGATTTTGCGGACTTGGAAGCTTTGCGCGTCCACTTGGAAGCCTGCCGACTGTGTTGTTTGCCGGTGTGAGGCTATGGCACAGCTGACATTTTCTCCGTTTCTCCCCGCTGCTGGTTGGCGCAAGACGGGAGAAGGTTGAAGTATAACCTTTTCGCAGATCTGTTCCCGGACCCCCGCTTTTGCTGCGTGTAGTATATATATATATATACACTCAGCCAACGCAAAGGGCGAAGCCGAAAAGAATGAGACGCGGATGATGAATACCATCTCTCAAAAGCGTACTAAAAAAAAAATAAATAAATAAAAGAAGACAATATAAATAAGTTACCCCATGTTTGATTAAATCGAGCTAAAAATCATCCCTGTTTCAATTTCTAACTATTCAAATGTTTAAAAAAAAACAAAAAACGAGCCATTTATGTAGCAGAAGTTACATAAATTCGGTTCCAAACAAGCAATCGCAACTGACGATGGGGCGACACAACAATTTCCGATAAAAGATGTGTCGCGTCTGTTTTTTTTTGTTTTTTTTGTATATATTTTCCTGGGCGAGTAAGAAAGGCAAATTAAGGTGCAAAGAACGAAGACAAGCGAACAAGGTACTAAGCAGGGTGAGCGTTGAGTCGTTGACTCTCACCTGGAGAATATTTAACGAAAAACATGCCAGCAACAATGACGTTGGTCGCGTCCAAACCAAATTAAATGTTGCTACTGGCATTTTTTTTTTCCCCTTCAATGCTTAGTTTACAGTTAGTACTCGTCATGTTCAGTTGCTTATTTTCTTGTCTTTGACCTTTGGGCGCGTTGTTCTGCCCTTCTGTCGATGAACCAACTCGCCCAGATGGCCACCTTGATTTAGTGGAGTCAGATATGCTCTAAATGTCGTTCTGCCCCCTCCTACCATGAATGGATTACTGTTGTGGGTGAAGCCAGAACTCTGCCTCGAAGCTCTAGGGCTACGAAACAAATTTGTTTGGAAGCATATGCGGGCTGCCATGACACGCAGTCTATCTAGCAGTGCCTCGAAGCGAAAACAGTTATAATTTATGCAACCAAACACCCCAAACGGTTCTCCAGCACATATAAAACCTCATAAAACGCATTAATGCCCAGATTACAGCGCGAGCAAACAGACCACAATACTTACCTACCGCAAAAAAAAAAAAAAAAAGCTGTTATTTTAGTGTAATATAGCACGAAACTGAAAGCACAGAAAAATAAAAGTTCACCCCACTAAAAAAGGCTAGTACGAACGTTTTTTTCCGCTTTTCTGATCTTTGCTTAGCGCACCATTTAAATCACCGTGGGATTTGAAAACACGACAAACCCCAGCGACCACCTGCACGGACCGGCATCGTCGTTCATTATAGCAGTCAACAATAAAGCGGAGCCAAAAAAGAACGAAAGCAAACAAAAAACGTAACACCATACGAGATTATATGAACGGGGAAAAAAGAACACTGACATAAAACTACACAGACAACGGTAGAGCATTTTCCCGGATGATAAAGTGCGAGCAAAACCGAACGTGGGGGAGGAGGGCCAGCCAGCATAAACCCGGCAGACTCAACTGGATCACACGGGCTAGTAAAAAGAAAAAACTGCACAAATCAAGGTTACGTAAGCAAGCGACGCGCACTGGGACAGGCAGACTGCGTAGCGGCGTTGCTCGCCTCATATACGCACATATCGCGGAGATGGATGCAAAACATGTGCACCACCTGACAGAACGCAACGAACCGCGCTGAAAGCCTACACCTCTCTGCTCTTTAAAACAATGATGTGACAGTTTAAGGAGCTCGTGGTAACGCGAATTTATTCCCAGTATAATATACGGGAGCAAATTTTTTGACAGGTTGTGAAGTTGCGAATTTGATTGAAAACATGCTCTAGGTTTGCAGCTTGTTTTGCGACATAGTGATTTTCACTCTTAACGTGGATGAAACCAATTGGAACAAAGTTTTCGCCGCCCCCATTTGTATTTGGGGTCTATGTGTGTATGGAGTGTGTAATTAACACGCATTTCTGAACATCTTCTGGAAAGTTCCGCTGACGACACAGGTTATTCGTCTTCCTACTCGGATACGTCGCCTTTCTGACCTACAACGTTTGGCTTATATTAAAAAAAACACCTATTGGGGTTGAAGAACGACGTATTCGGGTTTTAAAAGTTGGGAACTCGCTACGTAAACTAATTTAGGTATTCCACATTCGCCCCGCTAACGATCGGCACATTCGACGCCAAGCTATGCAACCGATCGACGAAATGCGATCCGCTCGCAGGCTCGATCAGTTGATCCGTTTCCGCGTGCCGAATGCGTGAAAAGGTCGGTCTCACATAACGGGCTTAGCCAGCGGCAAGTAATTGTTACTGCCGGGCCAGGAAGGGGGAGAGGCATTTGGGCCGGGTCGATCCAAAGACAGCGCCTTTACCCCCGCCGCTACGGCAACGCTATCAAATGTATACATACAGAAGGCTGATGACAGACGTGCAAAAGACAACCGCTATTAATGTTCGAAAACCGCCAACGAGGAAAACGAGAGGAAATAAAAAAATCCCCACATCGACCGTCGAATCCAGCAAGAGAAGAGCTAAGCCTAACGTGCTTCGATGTCGCAAGTGTATCAGCCTCGGCGGTCGTGGCTCGGCTGGCGTTGTTGCCGTGCCGTCACGGAGGGAAGAAAAAAAACAACTGGGGCGTGGAATATACGTGTAGCTATCTCGAGGACCGCTCAACCCTGACGTATTAGTGGAACAAGTACCGCCGAGACAGTTACACAAGCGCTCCGCGTCCGCGACGAACCGTGCGATTCATTACCTTGACGTTTATGGCTGCTCGAGGAACAATCGCAAACGCCGAGCGGAATCGCCCTTACATAACGCAAAGAGTTGTCAGCCGCACAACTAAGATCCGCAAGCTTTTTCACATTTGTGTTTGTTTTCGCGATGTTTTGACACGAAACATCGAATCAAGTCCGAGAAAAGGAACGGGGGAGGGCACTCACAGAATCTCGACCCACGTCGGCAAATCCGTCGGTATTTTGGTCAATCCGCGTCGAGAGCAGTCGACGAAAGAGCCCAGGCACGAGCACCCTAACGGACAGAGAACCCTCTGCCCGTTCACCGGCGACAAAAGCGTCAGGAAAAGCACGAACTGCGTCCAAACGACGACCCAAACCCAGTGGGAAAAGGTCGCCATGTTGGCGGCGACCGAGAAGCTCGGACGAGCCCCTCCGCCAAGTCCGGCGCTGGCGGGGCGGGCAGTCACCGATCGCAGAGCCTCTTCGTCGACATCGCGACACGGCCGTAGGTCGCGTCTCACACCACTGATCGCCGAGCAGTTCTCCGCCGCGTCGTTCCCATCACCGGCGACGACATTTCTGGAGCGGTTGCCGAACACACACACCACTGAGGCGCGCCGCCCGTTTACAAACAGAACGCGTCCGTCGCTGTGTTGCTCGCGCCCGCCGCCTTACGGCTTGCCTCGAGCAAAGCACTTTCTTTCTAATGTTTATTTCCTTAGCCCGCTGAGGCAGCCGATTCTTGTTGTACCCCTCCGCGCTCTGATTCGCTCATTACTCCCACGTGACATTAAGACGCCGCCATTGGCTCGCATGCACCACGTGACGTTTCCAAGTTTCTCGCGTGGCCGCTGGGAGGCGCAACCAGACGGAGCACTTTCTTTCGGAGCGGCTCGCCGCTCGCTCGCTTTCCTCTTTCTTTTCTTGTTCTGTCCCTGCAGGAAACTATGGAAACGCCGGCCGCGCCCCGCGCGGCTGGGTTCGGCGTGCTTTGGGAGGGTTGGCGGCTTTTGGGAATGGTTCTTTCTGGGCTTTCGGGAGGAGTACAAAGAGCGGGGTATGCCCGAGCAACAGGGGCAATCGCGTTAGACCACCACTTTTGGGGGCTGGCCAGCTGCGTTTGACACTTGGTCCCCGCGCGTTCTCCCCCGCTTGCTTCTCGGCGCTTCTTGTTAGCTGGTTCCGGAGCAACAGACCAACACTCGTGGAGCGCTCATTTAAAGATTTTTTTTTCTTTTTTTTTTTTTTTCTTTTTTGCATTGTTGGGATTTTTTTTTTTTTCTGACACTATGCCCCTTTGTTTTTAACCTCGGTCATAAAAGCACTGCGCCGCTCGTTTTTACTCTGCCTTGTAACCCCTCACTTCACATTCGCTTTCAGTCCCATTAATTTATTAGCTCCTGGTTACAGCTGTTCTAGATCGGGGCAATGGTGAACCAATTGTATAATATTAATCACGTAGTTGGAAAGTTTTAAATTTCTGGGGGGGGGGGGGGGGGGGGGGGTCGTGCTTTACTTTGTTGCTGCATCTTGGGGCCGGATAAGCTCTTGCTTGATTCTATTTGCGTGCTTGCGCGCGCGGTTTATACCTTTTGCGTACTTATGCACGCGGTTTACTCCTTTTCTGTACTTATGCGCCCGGTCTACTCCCCCTCCGCATTCTTATGCGTGCAGTTTACTCCTTTTGCGCACTTGCGAGCGCTGTTTACTCCCACTACGCGGCGGTTGGCTCAAACGCGGACGCGGAAAAGCAGGCGTTAAGTAACGCGTTACCACTTGTTAGCCCGCACAAAACGTGCCAACAGAAACAATAAAAAAAAAAAAGGAAATTGATTACGTTAACGCGGAACAAGAGAGGAACAAGCATCCAAAGCAGGCAGGGACCCCACGTGTCAGACCCGACAAAACGCGCTATGCAATTCCTAATTTGGAAAGCAGACAGCGCGTCTCAATGAGATTACGCCGCGCTAATAATGTGCCTCAGCGCGCTGTCGACACGCGCAGGCTGACTCCTGACAACGAGAACTTATTCTGGCGCCTGCGTCGCCAGTTGCATTATTCGGCGTGGCCCGAAGAACCAGTTGCGCACGGCTCTACGTCCACTCTGCGTACACGCTGTACATAATCCGTAGCTTCCGGAAAGATGATCGGGATTTTTGATGATCGTGATGCTCGTCGCGGGATTTGGTGTTTTCTTCCTATAAATCTGTTGAAAGTCAGCGCTGTTTGTACACTTCGCCTTTTTGTCCTCCCTTTATTATTTTTTTTTTTTTTTTTTTGCGCCGTGTTTGGTTTCGAAATTAGGATCGAACGCATCACGCGAATATGGTTTGTGGGCAAACACGGTCTTGTTTGTGAACATCGCTTTAGTATCGCGTAACTGCGCGTCCCGCACGTCTGCTTGCCCTTCCGGAAGGTCAGGTGCGCACGCACGCGTCGTGGGATTGGCCCGGATAGCTCGTAGCATCCTCCTCGATCCATCCGCAGCGCTCCTGCTGCTGCGGCGCCCCTGTTGTTCCCGCGAAAACTTTCGGCGTCCCTTGCGCCCCCACGTGCTTCTCAGCAGCAGACGTAAGCGATTGCGCGCGCGCGAAATCTGGCGCGTAAATAACTCGTGCTCTAACGTTGCCTGCTGCTGCCGCTGCAGCTTGCGTGCATGACGCTACGCGAAGTGCTCTCTCTCCCTTTGTCTCTCTTTCTCTGACGTAAGCGTGATTTAAGTCGCAACAGCAGGGCACGAGGTTTTGGCAGCCCTCGCGTGTTCACGCGTCCGTATGCTTTTGTGTGTGCTTGTGCTTGAACCGCGTGTATTTCATAAATCTGGTCGAGAATTCGCATCGGCTATTATGCAAACGCGCTATAGCTGGCTGCCCGAGGCAGTGAGCGAATAAATAAATAAATTAATAATAATAACAACAACAAAAACGCGCGAAAGATTCGTTTATTCGGAGCAGCGCCTCGGAAATTGTCGTGACATACTGATATATATAACAATTGTTTTGTTTGATTATTGTGGCCAGCTTGCTTCGCCCGTTCTTCTCGTTGGCAAAGTTCGGAATGTTGGAGCTGCTTTTGGCGCATTATTGATGTCATCTTGCTTACCACGCGCGCAGAATTAATGCGTCAAAAAAAAAAAAAAACAGTTTGCCTTTATTGTTTTAAAGGAAAAAGAAAAAAAAAAGAAACGAATGCATTTAGGCTGCGCGATCACTGCGCAACATCGTTAAAACAAAAAGTTAATTGCTGTTTCTTTTTGTTTTGTTTTTTAGAATTTAAATGCTGTTACAAGAACTGCTGGCGTGGTAGAAAGTGTTCATGTGGGGCTCTTGTTGTGCTCGCCGATACAATTTCAAAATAAAATTGAAAAAAGTGCCGATGTTATGTTTGCACTGACAGTGTCACGTAGTGCATATCGCAAATGTGGTTTCTTTAAAAGCACGGTGGCGATTGCTGTACTGTATTAGTGTAGTACGTGCCTAATTCACTTACAAATAAAAAGAATTGCGGGGAACTGTTGTCGAGTTCCTATTTCCGTGCTGACTTTTCACTAACTCCTTTTCTCTTTTTTTTTTTTTTCGCACATGTGTTTAATGCAATTTCGCACACATGGGTAGCTTGAGTAACACGTCCGAAACTTTGTTTCGCCAACTTCTCTCGTATACGTGCAGGTGCGTCTAGAAAGGACCCTAGTTACCGCGAACAACGCCACTCGTTTGGTGACTTTCAGCCCATCGAACAAATACAGCCCGAATGCGCGTCACGACAAAAAAAAAAAAACCTTGCGCAAATGTGATAAGAAAAAACGAAAAAAAAAACGAGTTGAACTGAATTAGGTCTAACAGAACTGCGCATCACCATGCAAACAAAAAGTAATTCATAAAAAAAAAATACTACAAACAGACCCGTTTAGGGCGTTTATTGTTCAAATGATGTTTGTAAAGGGTTTTTTTCATAGGAGGACACTGAGCACACTAACCACTGCAAAGAGCGAATCATCGCCGCGTGGGCGTCCTTAGATAACCAACGTCACCGAACCGATTTTGTCGTCAAAAAGATGAGTTGGTGTACATAGAATCAGAGAACCCTACAACGACTACATGTATTAATTTTTTACTTAATTAAATCTTAGTAAAATTTGTTAAAACATACATTCCTCCTTTACAAAGTTCCCTCTTTTGTTTAATCTGAAAGGGCGCAGTTTTATTCCGACACTTAATAATACCGAACAAAATTAATTAAAAAGACAACTTTTTTCTTTTTTAGCATTTGGGAAAAGACAAGTTCAGAGATCGTGCTTTGTTTGGCGAAAGCATTCTTGCTTGTTGCTAAGGTACCCGACTGGGCGATGGAGTTCGTCCGGAATTCTCGAAGGGGCCGTGCCACTTCCTTCTTTTGCTCGCTGCTAGAGTAACGTACACAATGTCCCTCGCAGCAGGTTGCCTGCTTGCAGAACCGCGAAAGGTCGTGACCTTTTGGGAAGCGCTTTCATTGTTCACGGTGTCTTGAACCCCTCCAAAGAAGACACTGTATCAAACCGTCTGTAACGACCTTCCAGGGACTTTAGACGTTCGTTACAAAAAAAAAAAAATAATCATCGCATTTTTTTTTTTGGTCTATAAATATTGTGGAGAATGAAAAATAAGATGATTTAAATCGCGGTTTATAGGGTGATTTAAATCCTGACTTAAATAGCGCCGGTTTTACTACGTCGAGTTAAAGCAAACCTTTAATAATAAATAGACGAACATTTAATAAATAATTCCCAAAATATTTGTTATCTACCGTTTGTCTCTCATTTTATCTTTCCTTTTTTTTAATTTGATTTGTATTTAAATCAAAGCAAATGAATAGACCAAAAACAAAAACAAAAAAACTTGAAAAAGGATCAAATTACACAAGCTTGGGGTAATTTTTATTCTTAATGAAGATTTAAACTGGAGTGAACATGTTCCTCGCGTGACTAGCAAGGAAAGTCGCTCATTAGGCTTCATGAGACGAAATCTATATCAGGCACCACCGGACGTATGTTTTCTCGCTTACACGTCATATGCTTGGTCCCAATTAGACTACGCCTGCATTATTTAGAACCCTTCAAAAAAACTAGTTGAGTAATCATATTGAATTCATACAAAATGGAGCAGGTAGATTCATTTTCAAAGATTATTCTTGACATCCAAGCGTCTCGCATTTGAAAACGAAAGCCGAGCTACCACTTCTTTCTCCAAGAAGGCAAATATCGCGACTTATCTCTCTTCGCAACATTTATTATAAAAGCACACGTCTGAAGCATTTTATCCACACTGTATACAAAGTTTGTGTATTATATTTGTTTTGTACGTGCCTTTCCTATTTATAGGAAACAACAGTTTTATCTGAATCGTGTAGAAATTCCCCCCTTCATGTATGCCCCACGGGGCGCTTACGAGATATCAGTAAATGAAATCAAATAATGTTTATAGCAGGCTTTACCCGAAAAAGCGGTCCTTTTGCAAGCAAATTGGAACACAAAAAAAAAAAACACATAAAAAACTTTTTCACTAAAAAAAAAGGAATGAAATCAAGCTGTTTTTGTATGGCTCGGATTACATTAACTGTACCTTAAAAGTATAAATTTACAGTGATTATTTTTTCCGCGTGGTTTTCAGTGTGGGACGTACGTACTGACCTGCCATGTCTCAGAAATGCGCCTAGGAATAAAAAAAAAAACTGTTTTCTAGT